CACTATGGAGTTTGAAACCATTACTTCTCACTTGCTTACCCACAAAGTAATGGGCAAGCAAAGATATCAAACAAAATAATCTTTAACGGGACAAAAAAGAGGTTAAAGAAAGCTAAAGGAAAATGGATGGAAGATTTGCCCAGCATACTGTGCCCATACTGAACCACACCACGATAGGCAACGGGGGAAACTCCATACATGTTAGCATATGGAGACAGTCATACAACTAGAGATTAGTCTCCTAACTCTTGGGTGAGAATTGTCAAACAGTTCAAAAAACAAAGATTCCATCTCCAAGGACAACCTAGCAGAGGAACGAAGGGAGCCAGTAGCCATAAGGATGACATCTTATTAATAACAGATATCCCGAGCTGACAGCAGAAAGGTCATGCCAAGAGGATTTTTGGTCGAGGACCTGGTGGTCTTTAAGGAAAATTGTGGGCACTGCCAACAAAAGGAAAGCTCAGGGCCAACTGGGAAGGGCTTTACAGGGTCACATCAGTTGGTGGAAATGGGTTTTACAAACTCAAAACCATAAGGGGGAAGCCACTTCTGTAGCCTTGGAACACAATGAACTTACGAAAGTACTACTTTTGAAGCAAAGATCAAAGCACCTTCGATTAGCAACTTCTGGAGTGCCTCTACAAAGGAATCAAATTGAAGTACCTAAGGAATTAGCTAGGTCTTTTGAAAAGGATTAAGGCGTTCCATATCATTATTTATTAAAAAAAAATTTCTTACAAAGTGCCTATGTAAATCTTGTACGAACCTTTGCAAGGCAGAGGAAATGAAAAAGACCCATGAATAAAGATTTGGACATAAGACCCAAGGAGGCTTGGGCACTTGATAGCCTACTACCAAGGCAGGTAGGAAAAAATCCTGACAGAGGCAGAGACCTAGCTCAGGTGCAACCACCCGATTGAACTTAGGCCCAAGGCTCGACACGATAGTGTAAGCCAAGTGGGTAAAAATTCGAGACCGAATGGAATGGTGGTTCGGTGCAATAGTCATGTCAAATAACCAGTGCAAAGGCCTGAACCCTTGATTAAGGCCAAGCATCTTTGCAAAGGGAAGGGGGCATGAATGTTTTCTAATTATAAAGGCCTAAACAAGGTTGACCCTCTTTGCTTGGGGAATGGGGCTTGTACTTTGTCTAAGTATAAAGGCCCGAACTCTTTATTTAGGTCGAGCTTCTCTATTAGGGAAAGTGGGTATGAAATTTTTCTAAGTACCAAGGCCCAGACTTCTCGTTAAGACTGAGCCAATGAAAAAAATAATTTGTGCGACTAAAGAATGAAAATAATTATCAAAAAGATTCCATATATTGATCAGAAGATTTCCTTACGTACACAAAAAAGAAAAAATAAAAGAAAAAAAAGAAGCTTAGGGAGCAGTACACTCTGGAATGACAAAATCTAAAGCAACTTGACTCGAAGCATCAACAGAATGACGGACGAATAACTCAAAAGACGCAGGAACACCAGTAGCCCTTAAATCCTCATCCTAACCCTTCTTAAAGTTTACCTTCTCAATCTGGCTAACTTGTTGGGTGAGTTCTTCCTCGGCCATCTCCATCCCATCCTCGAAGGCTGCATCTTCCTTGGCTTTAGAATCAGCTTTGAAACTTTCAAATTCTTCAAGAAAGGCAACATGATCTTATCGAGTCTAGAAGAGCTAGCGAAATGATCCTCTCTTCTTCCACATCTATCATTTGAGCTTGGAAGACCAGGATTTCTTCACAAAGCTTAGAAACTTCAGCATCCAATTGCTCTTTCTTCTCCGGTGTGGTCTTGCAGTCATAAACGACCTTTTTCATGGCCTTGTCCTTTCAAGCAATGCAAGCACAAACTTCATGGACCCGCTGAAGGCCCTGCAACAAAAACACTTAAAATATTCGCAAAACATCGAACCATAAAGAAGGAAAAAGGAAGATTTACAAACATTTCAAAAAATCTGGTCATCACTCATTAATTCATTGTTGGCCAGATCTAGACAAAATATCACTCTCCTGGTAATGCCAACATGTATATCGGCCATAATGGAGTCTTTTACAGTGACTTTTTGCCTTTGGCCTTCAAGATAGGACGGAAAGGAGAAACCATCTACTTGCCATGATCAGATTCATTGATCTCCACTGCCTTCCTCTTCTTGGTGGCATGATTTCGAAGCCGAGTCAACTTAGGGGGGGACTCATCCTCTTTACGGATCTCAGGGGAAGCAGCAATAGCATCTTCAGGAGCCTCATCACCTGGGATCTCTATGACTTACCGGCTGCAGGAGTAGTAGTCAGTTCTTTTGTCGGTGTCGACATCATCTTGGCTTCGGCCGCACTTGATCGAATAGGGACAGGAGGGGGATAGTCTTGTATAATGACGGGAATTTGAGAAGCAGAAACAGTCGGGACAACAATTGGGGACGCGACGGAACCAAATATGAGATCAATAAAGTTCTTTAGTAGTCGACCTCGGCTAGGCAAGCATTGGCCCTATCTGGAACAACAATGAAGAAACAATACGATGGACTATAACCGAGCAGCTAGTGCGAAGCACTGCAGAAAAGGATCTCGTTGAAAGATCAAATTTTCTTGAGGTCCTCCATATTAACAGACCTCTCTGAAACCTTCATGTTCACCTCTTCCCCTACTTTATTATTTTAGACTGCAAATCAATGTTTTTATAAAAAATGAGATTAAGTTATCTAAACATTTTTAGAGAATACATGAAGCACCACCCTCATAAAGGGCATCGATAGTTGGGAAATTTTTCTAGCCCTATACTCCCAGTTCAAAGAAACAAATACCATGTCGTTTTCATGGTTTTTATTGGAATCACGAAGATGAGTAACAAGATAGTGGCTCTTGTTCCTAACCACCAAGTAGTAATTATCATCACCAGCTGGCTTGACGATATAGCAGTACATAAGCTTCCAGCGACCAAGATTGGTGCCAAGAAGGTTGTTCAAAACTACAACCCCCATGACTATTTGAAATAATTTAGGACAACATTGCAGAGGGTAGAGTCTAAAAGTAGAGAGAACCCTAAGAAGAAGGGGATGAAAAGGGAAACAAACTCCACCTTCAGTGATTGAGATCATGTCGAAAGGGATAGATTCCCTGGAACTGATAAGGGCCTTTTCTGCCATAGGAAGCCTAATCTCCACATCATCTGGGATATTATAAGTAGCCTTAAATGTAGGGATGTCTTCTTTTATAAGGGGAGCCATGGTAACAAATGTAGTTGCCATAATCAAATACAACAAACTCTATATAGAGCTAACCTCTCTCCTACTTACTTGGTTTTTACTTCCAAGAAATTTTACTTTTACCTGTAACTCATCACTCCGATGATTTTTATCGTTTTCATTTAATGTTAACTACAATACCCTTTTCATCTTTCAAGTTTAGTTTATCTACTATTTTACATTCTAATTTTCTTTCTACGTTCTAGTCCAGTACGTTACAAGTCAAAAAATTATATAAGTCATTGATCCCCAAGGGCTATGCTTGTAGAGTGAGGTGTCAATCACGTTGGGATAAGTAACATTTATGTCCCTTCCTTATTTGACTCGAGGGTGGACTGAGATATTTGTGGTCCCAGTGCCTGCAAATGTAGGCATGGTCAGAGAGTTTTACACACATTCGTGACACTACAAAGGATAATGAGCACTATACTACATATGTCTGAGGTGTGTTATTTGAGTTTTCCACTAACCTTATTACCACCACCCTAAATCTTCCTCAAGTAGCACATGATTCTTTTCATTTTCGACCTGATAGTCTTATACCCACATTGCCATCAGTTGCTTTTGTGTTGTAAGGACTTACTTATCTCGACAAGTGGAACCCGCCAGCTGTGGTACCACAAAGATTTGACTATAGATTATAGATTTATAAATCTGATAGTCAACTATAGCATTGACCCGAAGGCTCATATTTTCACTTTTCTCATACCACAAGCCTATTTGTTACATGCTATTGGTACAAATTTGGAAATAGATGTACCTCGCATGATATTTCAAGTCATTCAAAGAGCATTTGATAAGGTAAACATTATTGGTACTTTGCCATTTGGTTCTCTGATCACCTGTATATGTCTAGATAGGGGTGCTAGTGATTTAGATTCTAACCAGTTGATGAGACCAAAGAGACCTCTAGGAAGAGAGTCTCTAAAATAGTGTGAGACACATGCGAGTTATATGCTTGACCCTATGAAGGTAGAGGCAGAGGGTGACGAGATTAAGGCTGAAATACATGATACTACTTCTACAAAACCTGGTACATCTAGTCACGTACCACCATCGATGCAGGTATGGGGCCATACCTCACGTGCTACACTTCCTCAAACACCTACAACTGCATTGGATCAATGGACTACTAAGCACTAGGACAGCTAGAGAGCAGTGTTGATCAGCAATATAGCCTTTCTGCTCTCCATATGGATGCTATTGATAAGGGTATAATGAGCCTACAAATGGATCGGTGGGAGATTAGTAGAGATGTTTGACATCTCTCTCTTTCCCCTCTCTCTCTCTCTGTGTCTATGGTTGTTTTTCTTTTCTTTTCTTTTTTTTTTTTTTTTGGGGGGGGGGGGGGGGGGGGGGATAAAAAGGCATGCAGGGGGCCTATGTTCACAACTCAATTGGTCCAACCATCCTGGAGGTAAATTGGCACGCAAGAGGGGGATTATAATCCAGCATGTAGACAGATGCATTGTACTAAGAGTTCCAATGTTATTTGGATACAAAAAAATGCATATTTACACAGGTTCTGTAACTGTACAGTATCCTCATAGTGGAAAACATAAGCAGCGTAGTGTGAAATCATGTGTTGGCCAAAACGCTTCATTCTGCAAGCTCCTCCACCATTGGAGACAACAACTGAACCAGCAAATATCGCTCAAAACTTATCTTTAATCACCTACCAACAATTGCTGATTAAAGAAAAAAAGAGATTCGGCAAGAAACTACAAAATTTTCCAAAATATTATGAATGGAGAAGAGGTCTATCCAGCACCAGCATCAGAATCCAACTGCTTACGGCTTACCAGAACACCCTCATCCCAAATCTCCAGACACCTGCCCATCAGAACAAATGTGGGCACAAATTTATCATACAAGAATTCAGGAAAGAGCAGAAAAAACTCTGCATAATCCAACTTAATGAGCAAAAGTATGTGTATGTCATAATTTCCTTAATGAAGAGGATGAGAACAAATACTGATCTTTTTTTTTTTTCATTGTTTCACATACAAGGACATTTTTTTTGGCCAATAGTTTCAATTCCTGTTTGTAGACTCTCAAATTGAAATTCCTCACAGTTAAAATATGCTATGCAAAACTTGGAATTCTAAATTGAGATGAATGCTGTACTTTGTATTTCCACTCAACATGGCACTGGAACTTACATGACTGTACACTATTCATTAATGGCATTTCATGAACAGAAGGTGAACCAGAGTTCCAAAGGGGAGAAGATCTGGATGTAGAAATGCCTAAGGGCAACTTCAATGTTGACTCAAACTCAAACTCAAATAATGACTGAAAACCTTGAGTTGGGATAGACCTCTCCAAAGGATTGATTCACATTTATACTCAAATATATTTTTGAAAATTCCCATATTGTCCCAAGAGCTCATTTCTTCAAATTTTTCCTCCAAAATATTTTTCCCTCTACTCTTTTCTCTATTTCTTTCCCTCCAAAACATCTTCCCCTCCAAAAATTTATGCACTTGGTAGCTTAGATTGTCATTGAGCAAGATTTATGGAAAGCATAATGGATTCAAAAGAGTTCAACCAAGAATCTGAGGAACAACCTTTTCCAGATGAAGCAAAGGACAAGATCGTTAATGCAGACAACCACAAGTGTGAAAGCAAAACACAACCAAGAAAGAAAAGCCTTTTCCGATCGACTCATTTTTGCAACCCAAAAGTGTTGTTGATTTTCATAGCTCCCATGGCATGTGGTGATGACAGACAAGAACAGATCTATCATGATAAAGAAGACAAAGGAGGCTGATGACAAGAGAAAATAAAGGGTAGAGAGAAGAAAGGGCTTATGTTTTGGCTCAAAAAATTGAGTAAAAGGTATTCCCTCAATTTAACGCAAGGAAAGGGTTTCCCTTCATTTGATATAAGTTTGGGTTAAAGAGTTTTTGGTTCTTTTTCACCCAAATTTAAGTTTGAGTTTGGTTTTGAGTAAGGAGTGGAGATGGCTTAAGGCTGTCATTTACATGCAAAGTTTTATTCAGAGAACTATTGCTTCCCTTTCTGAAGACCTTTCACATCACATGTATACTCTGAAATGACCAGAAGGTACCCTGGACATTCTGAGTTCTGACCAATGACTAACTTGGACAGAACTGTCCCTAAAAAGTAATCCAAGTTTGGCCACAATGTAAGTTCTGGGCAATGAACTTGTCTTCATATAGAACATCTGACCAAGCAGAGCTTCTTGGACATACACACAAGGGTGGTAATCGAGCTGAGCCTTCCGAGCTTCCGTATGCTCAGGCTAGGCACGAGTTGCAGAAGGGCTGCTCAAGCTCGGCTCAGGGTGATTAACTGCCCCAGCTTCTGTAGGTGAGGGTAGAGGAGAGTCTCAAGGGTCTAAAACAGAGAGGAAGGAAAGAGACGTAGGGAGTAGGGACGTAGAGAAAATTGAGTTTGAAGAAGGAGAGAGAGATGCTACCAAGTATAGGGAATATATAAGCTATAAACAATTTTGAAATGAGAAAACAAAACCAAATTGAGGAAAAAAAAACAAGTGGACTGGACACAAACCTTGCTGCATTGACATTGATACAGAGAAAGTGGCCATGCCGCCAGCCATCTTTAAAATGGCCAAAGAAAACGTCACCAAGCTTTGAATAGAAGCGTCCTTCCCCATTGGCCTTTCCCTTCCAAAAATTCACAAACCACCGATCCCCAGTGCGAAAATAAAGCCATCCCTACATGATTACACAAACAAAACTGACACAGAGCCACCAGAAGTAAATTCTTAGAAACCAACTACAGAAAAGTTTTCTTCTATTGAGGGTTTTATTCAAAATAAGCAACTGAACAAGCGTTGCACATTATTGGGTATAACAACCCAACACCAAACAACTTGTCATGCGAAAGTAAAACAAGACAAGAATCTACAATCAATACTGTTTCAGTTGAGTCATAAGTGAAAATTTTATAATCTTTTCAGAACAATCCAGCCAAGAAGAGCAAGAATCATGAAAAATAATGCAATTCACATGATTACAGCAATAGCAATGTTGGAGTTGGTCAAGGCGGCTTCAATTTCTAGAACACGGGAAAGATAGGCATGACACTAGCTGACTACTTAGATGGGGTGCCTAAGAACCAACACAGGCAGGAAGTGTTGAAAATACACTTGAGAATGGTTTCAGCAAGAAAGAGATACAATAATACATTTAAGATTGGACAAGTGGAAAGACCCATACCTTGCCATGCATAGCATCGTCTCTCCAAGATCCCTGGAACACATCCCCATTACTGAAGTAGAAAGTACCGAGACCTGATCTCTTACCATATCGCCACATGCCATTGTATACGCTTCCATCCCCGAAAGATACACGACCCTGAAAAATCTGGCTTTAAATCAACAGAAAAATCAACGCACCCAGAAAAAGAGCTTTGCCCAACACTACAGTGCTTCATTACATTACCTTCCCTTCAGGGAGACCTCCTTGGCAACGGCCATTGTATATCCCTCCTCGGTATTTCATCTCCACCACAGGACTCCACTTCTTTTGTGAATTTCTTTCAGCTTCCTGCATGCAAACTGGGCAGTTAAAATTAAAGAAATCTTTAAGATAAATGTCAACTGCAGGAAACGACAATAAGATAGAACCAAACCAGTCATTACAATATATAAATCATTGAATGCTAGACCTTTCAACTGGTATACAATGCCTTCTACTTTGGAGTCTTTTTTTTTCATTTTTGTGATGATAATAAATTTTGCACCCCCTCTGTTCCTTGAGAAAAATTCAAACAAAATAGGAAAGTTCATAAACTGCTTAAAACACAATGATGCCAATCAAAAAATAGTGCACATACCAGCAGATATCAACTAGTCTATGAATGATACATTAACGATGTCTGATATTTCTTGTGTCTAGCTGTTAGCCCCTTAGCTTGTTGGCATGGCTAAGTCATGCGGGTGGCAGGCCCACTGGTGCCCTATTCCGCAGTCAAGATGCAGGTGTGCTTGGATAAGTACCCCATTGTGCAAGATGGCTCCCAAAAGACTTGGATGCATGCTGGACTTGGTGCAAGATGACATAGCTAAGGTGTTCAACAAAAGTTCCAGGCATAGAATTTATGTAACACAACACGGTTCGCTGAGGATGTGCATTGACTATCGGGCCCTGAACAAGGTTACTATCAAAAATAAGTATCATGTTCCCAATGTTGTTCAATAGGGTCTCCAAAGTGACGTTCTACACAAATCTCGACCAGAGGGCTAGGCATTGGCATGTTAGGATTACAGCAGGAGATGAACCCAAGACCGCTTGTATAACTCGTTATGGTTCTTTTGTATTCCTTGTATTGTCGTTTGGGTTTACTAATGCCTCGACAACTTTCTACAATTTAATTAATGATATTTTTTATGATTACATCGATGTATTTCTGGTTGTTTTCTTAGATGACATAATTGTCTATAGTGAGCCGTCGAAAAATGTTCTCACAACTTAGAGAGTACTAGTTGTATATCAAGAAAGAAAAGTGTGAATTCTGTCACCAAAAAAAGATGTCTTGGGAAATTGGATTAACAAAGGCCAGATTCGGATGGACGAAAAGGAAGGTGAAGACAATTGTTGATTGACTTGTACCAACCAAAGTGTCAGAACTATGGTTTTTTCTTTGGTTTAGCCAACAATTATCTCAAGTTCATTCAAAGATATTCAAAGAAATGCAATGCCTTGACTGATTTGTTCAACAAGGATCAAAAGTGGAACTGAAATGATACCTGTCAGATTGCTTTTAAGAAGTTGAAGGATGCAGTGTCTCCTGCACCAATGCTAAGACTTGTAGACTTCGATTTGCCCTTTGAAGTGCACTTGCCTCTGGCCGTGCCATACGATGAGTCCCAGTTATGGAAGGACACCTTGTTGCCTTTGAAAGCCAAATGCTTAAGGATGCAAAGCAACGCTATTCAACACATGAGAAGGAAATGCTGGTGCATTGCTTGGGGATTTGGAGACATTACTTATTGGGAACAAAGTTCACCGTTGTGATGGGAATGTGGTGAACACCTACTTCAAGTCCTTGAAGAAATTGACCCCAAAATAGGTCCATTGGCAGGAATTTCTTGTTGAGTTTGATTTCGTGTGGATACATAGGCTAAGAAGGCTGAATAAGGTTACTAATGCATTGAGTAAGAAGGAGGTCCAAGTCAATACAATTTTATATATCAGTCTGTGGGCATTGGGAGTATACCATGTATATTAAAACCCTATTTAACTAGTATAAAATTAGATTACATGATTATTATATCAATAAATATATAAACTAAAATTTCTTTAAATTCTTATATGTTCCCATATATAAATCAAAATAAATTTTTGGGTATTTTTTATGTGTTGTTTAATTATAAAATGTGGCAATGAGCTAGGTATTTTTTTAAATGCTTAAATTGAATATTCATGATGATAAATATTTTTGGTAGCACTCTCATAATTCCTTTTTACTATGTTGAATGTCTTAGATTATGTATTTTGAGATATGATCTATGGATGTTATTGTTTACATTTTTAAATATTTTTCATAATTTTTTTTAGAATTTGTTGAGCTTTCTATCTAGCATTTTGAGCGTATCGACTGAGACGCCTTGATCGATGTGTATCAGTACCCTCCGAGTCAATGGCCGATACTGCAACTTTGAACCATGCTTAACTGGCAACCCTTATTCCCCTTAGCCTTGACACGCCAAAGCAACGCACAACCCCAAGAATGTTTGTCCTGGGTGTGGGCAAGACATGTAAAAGTTGAGACCCAAGAAACGTGGAGCCGAGGTATGGTGGGACCTGTTTATCTCGGAAGTCCCATGCATGTCCGAGGGAGGCAGCACATCATGGGCACATTGGGTACAAGCAAGCAAACAAGGCATAGCCGTGTGGGCTTTGATTAAGGTGCATTGCATAGTTGGAAGACCAAGCCATGGGCTAGACAAGGCTTGGCATGCTAGCAATGGAAATCAGATGCTAACGGCAGACAATGATGACATGTGCTGATCATGTGGGGCAGTTCTAGGCAGGTGTAGGCTGACTCATAAGGTAGTCACTCAAGCACAAATGCTCCAACAAGCAAGGGGCGCTTCAGATTGGCTCAAACATAAGTGGTGGTCGTGGGAAAACCAACCCAGACCCTTAGGGCGAATTTGATTGGTGCTAGCATGTCAACTGCATTGCTGATTTGGCTAAAGCTGGTTGGTGTCAGGATTGCCTATGCGGTTGGGTTGTAACCGCCATGTATTTGCTTTAAATACACATACCATAATCTGCAGCAACCCGAAGAGGGATTGGGCAAGTTTTGTAACAAACCCTTAGCCGGATTCCTTTGTACTTGCCTAAGAAGTAAATGGTCAGGTCGTGTCGGCCTGTAAACTGGTGTGCCGACTATGTGTTTAATTCTTGCCCATACCCTATTTAATATATTGTCTTTATGTTGGATCTCAGTGCCATCACGAGACAAAAATTTGTGTGTAATTTGACTCCAGTGACACAAGTCATCATACGATTCTGATATCACCGAAATATAGGAGGAAAAAAAGTTTCAATTATTGGCTTTTCATAGTGGAACTAAGGCAACCACTTCAAATTACTTTTGAAACTTAACCACCCTACAAGTAAATAGCTTCAAGGTTTTACACCATCTTACCACACTAACTGTAATAAATTACTATTACTAACCTCATCAAGGCATTTTACAAGCTATCAAATTTAAGGAAAAAAAGTGAAATCCATTCTGCTAGGAAAATATCTTTATTTCTCCTTCAAGTATTCAATGTCTAAGAAGATAAAAGAAAGAACTCTTTCTTCAACTAAAATGCTAATGATGTGTAATATGATGAAAGGTCAAGCATTATTATGACCTGTAAACAGAGAGATCTTCAGATATTTATATGCCTTCTAGCTGGAGCAATTAGCATAGAAAGCATAAGAAGGAAACACCTTTACCAGCATAGATGCAGCACGAACAGAAAGCACTCCCTGCTTCTTGGAAACATTAGTGTTATCTCCCTTCAGTAACACAGATGTGTTATTAAAGATGTCCATTACGGCTTCAAAACCTGCATCAGTCGGTGGATCCAAAGGCATACTTGGAGTAACCTGAGGCTGTGCCTTTATATCATTTATTATTGTTTTCTCTGGATGATCACTAGTGTTTGAGACGTTGGGACCATCTTTCAACTCTGAAGGTTTCACACCGATGGGAAGTCTGTAAAGCATCGGACTGTCCAGCACTGGAGTAGCTCCAGAATCAGTGGCCCCCTTGGTGGCCCACTCCTGTGCAAAATGATTTCCGGGACCCATATCATGTCTAAGAAGCATCTCCCTTTGAAAAGTGGGTGCTCCTATAATGAAATTCCAACGTGTTTATTCAACTTATTTACTATTTATAAATGATTCAAAGCAAGGATCAAAATATCGTTTCGAAACGGTCAAACATCCGAAATGTTTCTGTTTCAAGGGAGACCGAAACGAATCAGTGATAAAATAAAAATTCTAATATTTCGACGTGTTTCATAATATTTCGAAATGTATTGTTATATTTCAATGCATTTACACAATTATTTCGGAATATTTCAAGGTATTTCAAGATATTTTGGTATATTTCGATCAATGTTTTGAAATAAATTCTTAAATTTTTTATTTTTTTTAATTATGTTTTCAAAATGGGTCGAAACGTTTTCGAAACATGTCGGAACATTTTCATTTCTTAGGTGATCAAAACAATGCACCAAAACAAAATTTTGTTCCTTGATTCAAAGCCAAAGGTGAACCAAATAATACTAAAACTACCCTAAGCGTACCTCCAGTGTTTCGGTCATAAGCCATGGAAGAATCTGCACTGGCCTCTAAGAATTCAGCTTCGCTTTGTTCAGAACTACAATCATGTCCTCTACAATAATAAAAATTAGTACGAAATTTGTGGACACCTTTGGTACTACAGAATCTGAAGATGAATTGAAGGGAGGAACTAAAAACCTAAAAGGATATATTTCGTCACCACTGTTGCTCAATAACATCTGGAGTTCGGCAGAGTAAATACCAAAACCTTCAGCTGTGCCGTCCACGGGGACTATATTAGGCAATTCAGTGGACTCTAGTCTATTTATCATCTCAGAAAGACATGAACGCTCAGGTGAATAGTTTTCTTTAGTGTTGTGAGACTGTGGATGGTGCTTCCCCAAGAGATTGAAAATAAATGGAAAGTGTTCTGCCAGTCTAGAGAATATGCTATTTTTATGAGAAGTCTCCCGTCCAGAAAAACTGATAATCAGAGTACATTTAAGCATTAGAATTAAGAAGACAAAAAAGTGAAAGATAATCAAAAGTATACATAACTGGAATTAAACTATAACACAACAGTTATCATAAGGAGACAAGAAATTGTCATAACTGACACTGAACCCAGAAACCATAGCAACGAAGATGTAGAGGGCATGAAACAATATTCTTCTCTCTCTCTCTCTCTCTCTCTCTGATGAGGAAAAAAATCATAACAGATGTAAAAGCCCGAATTTGGTAATTTCAATTTCCAGAGAGGTACTAACGACTTAACAATAATATCAATTTGTTCTTGATCAAAACTTATGCATACCATTGCTAGGCCATGGATTGAAAATGATAGAAAAACCTAACATTAAATATACTCATAAAACAATGGACACATGGCAGCTGGCTGGCAGGGTGCCCAGCAGCCTACAACATATTCCTATGGTTAGCTCCAACGTTTTCATTCATTGAAGGCAAAGTTCTTCAACCTATATTATATCTAAAAAAAAAAATACTAAAAAAAAAAGAACTCAGGGAGGCATGACACGTGGCAGCTGGATAGACTGTTACAATTAGCAAGCCCTGCTGCTTGAGGAAAATAGGTATAAGGTATTTTACCTAATTTATGAACATGGCCACCTAAATATTAAATATATTATTATACAGCAAGTTTATATCAGACATATTATTTTAGTCACACCGTTTGAGAGAGTTTCATAACCTTATATGCTATTGAATAATACAATTAAAGTAACACCAATGTGAATAGACAAAATATAAAAAATAGCAAGTACTCTCGCCTTTTATCTACTGCAATAAACAAATTTCTTATGTTTTTACCTCGTGTCAAAGATTTCTTTTGCAATCCACATACACATTTAATAATTAGGAAATGTAATGCAGAAATTTAACCAGATAATTGCAAAAACAAATCAAATAAAGTCCGCCTAACTGGTTCAAGGCCACTAGCAAGCTCTGTAAAAATAATTTGTATCTCTTATCGAATAATTAGGACCACCCAAGGTTGGTTAGTATTTTACAGAGCCTTTCCACTCATCGTCAATTGATTTTGAATTGGATGCTCTAAGCCTCTAACATGATATCAAAGCTGGGTCTTGGATGGTCAACAAGCAAATATCTTACCCACTTGAATTTCTGGTATGTATGTTTCTTAGCCCCACATGCGAGTCTAGGTCCCATGTGAGAGGCATAAAGAGAATTTGTATCCCACAAATACCCAAGGTTGGTTAACATGCTTAAAGGGCCTCTCCACTCATTGCCAATTGGTTTTAAGTTGGATGCTCTATCAAGCTCAACTTTCAAGAAAAAAAACAGACTTGTACCAAAAAAACAAAAAAAAAGACATAAAGCAGCATAACCACAAAGGCTATATACAACATTCAGCAAGCATTTTACTCTGAAAGACATTCTTACCCTACAGTAATAAGGGTTGTCACAATAAGGTTGGTCTCTAAAGTGGGTTCATGAACTACAGATACTACGATTTCCCCCTCGCACTCTGTAGTTTGGCGAAAATTTTGAATAATGGTGTGCACATCATTGCTGTTGATAACACCTGAACTTGCAAGGATGCATATGACAACTCCATTCAAGTCCTGAGAAAAAAAAATTATCAAAAAAGTAGCACAGCTGTAGATCAGAAGTATAACAGGTAAACAAAGAATCCAGCTTTTTTGTCTAAGTGAAAAGTCTGAAGGAAACCAATCCTGGTAACCTCTTAGCATGATATGCCGATTGCCAATGATGATCGGAAATTTGTGTATCATAAATAAGTTTAACATCTAAGCAACCACATGAGAAGAAATAAAGCATGCTTCTGCAACGTACTTAAAACTTTCAGAATATCAACTTTTTCTTACTTTTACACCCACACTAAGGAAAGGGCAGTCATATATAGCCCGCACAATTGAAGTTTTGAGGGTGTAACCAGCTCCAAATCCAATATTTGCTTCTTTATATCCTTCCAGAATCTGTACATCATAGCATTAGCCTCCACATGTTTTACAAGCAAAAATAGATAACAAATAACAAAATGCAATGTTGGCAATTAGATAAACAACAAACATAAGAGAAACAATAGAGGTTCATTTTCTTTTAGAACCAATACAGACACTAGATAAGTGATATAATTGAGGGTAGGCCTTGGTGCAGAGTAAAGTAGCTTCATTGTAACTGTTAGAGTTCTTATTTCTTATTTTTAGTAGTGAAGGATAGTATTGTAATTCTCATAACATCATATTAGTATAAATAAGAGTGTAGGGCAACGTAGCCTACACACAAATTATTCTCTCCTTATTCTTCTCCTGCTGTCATTCTCTCTAATCCTAATATTACTTTTTCTATTTCAATTTGATATCATAGCATTAATCGAAGATCAAAAAACATTGGAACACATTGTGGAAGCCCTTCAACTCAATTTGTAGTGACTGATGCCATGCTAACGTCAGCATGATGTCAACAACTGTAGGTCACCAGAAGCTACACCCTGGATCAGCTCTTTATGGGGAGTCTCATGGTGATTTTTGCCAATTTTTTTTTGAAGCTATCTAGGTAAAGTATTCTATTTTTGAATGCTTTTTGAAAAAACAGGGGCTATTTTCTTTTATCCCTTGATTCTGGTTTTTTCCCCTATTTGGTTGCTTAGATATGGCTCCTAGGGTTCTGATTTGGCTTAGTAAACATCCCTACGTGTGACTTGACTATATTTCCTACCCGTAGGGTAGGGTGAACATCCCTACGTGTGACTTGGTTGTTTTTGATGAAAGCTCAATGTAAATTATTCTCTATATTTGAGACCTTTCGTGAGGAAATAAAAATTTAATATGATTGTCGTTTACGTACTTTACGTTCCGATAATGCTCAAAAATATGAATCTGATATTTTTTTAACTTATCTTAGTAAAATTGGCATTATTCATCAGACTTCTTATGCTTACACCTCTCCACAGAATGGTATTGCAGAACGCAAGAACCGTCATTTGTTGGAAGTCACTCGTGCCTTGTTTTTTCAGATGAATATTCTCCGATAATTTTGGAGTGATGCTATTCTTACTGCTTGTCATCTTATTATTCGTATGTCATTCTCTGTGTTAAATGGGCAAAGCCCATATTCTGTTCTTTTTCCCGGTAAGCCCTTATTTTCCCTGTCCCCTAAGATTTTTGGGTGTGTTTGTTATGTTCACAATTTGGGTCCTGAATTTGACAAGTTTGACCCTCGAACTACCAAATATGTATTTCTTGGTTACTCCCGCACGCAGAAGGGGTATCGTTGCTACAGTCCTTCTTTGTGCCGATACTTTACTAATGTTAATGTCACGTTTGAGGAATCTGTTCCATATTTTTTAATACCTTCTCAGCCTTTGAATTTGGACTTTAGGTCATCTCCTATACCACTATCTTTTTCCTCATCTTCAGATATTTCATTGCCCACTGTGTTACCATCTACTTTACCTCTCCGTATCTACTCTCGCCGTCCTCGCCCATCGCCGGAGGTGCCCGTACCGTTTTCCTTTCCACCTTTTGATCCTGGTATATCAGGTAATTTAGACTTTTTACCTATTATTCTTAGAAAAGGTACTCGTTCGTGTGTTACTAATCATCTCATTGCACATTTTGTTTCATATAATGTGAAACCCGGGAAAATTTAAACTTTTTATAAAAAAAAAAGGATAAAATGGTAATTTGTCATTATAGTGCGGGTTGAAAACTGATATTTTTCTAGACCTCGGATGATGAAACGGACCTCACCGTTGGATTCATCTCGCGAAATCTAGTTATACAGACAAATTTCGTCGAATTCTGAGATAGTCGGATTTTTCACTTTTTTTGAGGTGACGGTATCTGGTGACCCCCAAAAACAAAATTTTTATAAAAATTTTAAAATTTAGAAAATATTTTAAATAAAGTTCATATAAAATATTTTGAGCTTAAACCGGTACGAAATTTAATCGTTTCGGAGCGAAAAACGAACCCGAACAAAGGACGACACTTGGCGCGACGAGGGCCAAGTCTTTAAAACTATAAATAGGGGTAAAATATCTGAAATATCAGCTTTTTCCTCCCCTATGGCCGGTTGTATCAGAGATTAAGACAGAAAAAAGAGCAAAGAGGGAAAAACCAAAAATCTTAAGCCGTCTCCTTCGATTTCCCGAAGATCCGTCGGTCATAATCGCTCGAGCCAAGAATTAAAGTTGCTCTACGCCACGAGGGCTAGGCATGGGTACCAAGAACGAAGATTTTCACCGAAGATCAAAAGACAAGATTTTAGAGAAATCAAAGTCTTGAGCTTTTGGGGGTATTCTTGGAGGTTCTAGTATTCATTTACGCTTCAAGAGGTAGGGTTTTCCTACTTTAGTTCATTCTAACCTATGGTGTTCATAGAAGAGGAGTTTAAGCATGTGGGGTTGTATAGCCTTTGCAGGAGGTTGGTGTTTTGGTGGATATAAGAAATGGATGGAATATACATTCTATCTTTAAGTAGTTTTGTTTCTTGTAATATGTGGTTACTTGAAATGGTTTGTAGAAATCACTTGGTATGATTTCTTGAGCTATGTGGTTACTTGGAATGGTTATGTGAATATATGACTTGAGTGCCTTTAAGGTGTTTGATAAAATACCTTTGTGAAATAAAGTGTGTTAATTGCATGAGATTATGCTATAACATGCTTGGATCATGTGGTAATGTGAAATCATATGCTTATGATATGATTTATGATTGAAATGTACTTGTTGATATATGCATGTTTTGATATATATTGACATTGAGACAAATATGGTATTTATATGCTTAGGATATAATTTACCATGGATGTGTTGGAAATTAT